CTTTTTGATATCATACCAACCTGCTTCTGGATGGGAATCGCTTACGTGGTTGCTTAACTCTCTTTCTAGTTGCTCCTAAAATATATTCCTAGCTGTATTATCCTCTATCGAACCCCTCCATCGATGGCTGATGGCAATGTGATCTAGTTGGGTCCAACATTGAGACGACTTTGGAGGTCGCCAGGTCAACAGATGCTTTTCCTTATGCCTAAAGTTAGTGTTTGCTAAGAATAGGCGGTTGTTTGAGCATACTTGCAACAGATGGTCGCCATTGTCTGTTCTCTGAGGCGCGACACCATAACATCCATCCAGGTGTCTTTCATTTTCACTTAGTCTACCTACTTGAGCATTCAAGTCACCAGCCATTAATACCATATCAGAGCGCCTAGCTTTTTGGAGAAGGTCCGAAAGCTTTCTGTAAAACTCATCTTGAACCTCGTCTGAACTGCAGTCGGTGGGGGCATAGGCAGATATGACGAAGAGGCAAAGGCGAGTGTCCCTGTCCTTCCTAGTCCTTACTGTCCCGTTTAGTCAGACAGCGCATAAGCGACTATGTACTGGGATCCAGTCTAGGAGAGATTGTTCAGCTCTACGGCTCAATGCTTTGTCTACACCAGCAAGACCACGGGAAGCAGCATCAGGGCTTCCAGATACATGAAGAGTAAATAGAGCTGCTTCTTTATTTTGACAAGGTAAAATGAGATTACTGATTTTACTAGGATCCTGTATGCGCGTTTCCGAGACGTAGCATACATCGGTGGCACGAGATTCTAAAGTGCTAGCTAAGGAAGCTTGTTGCCCAATTTGACACAATGTCCGTACATTAAAAGCACCAACATGTAGTCTAGAACGGGGTTTCAAGAGACCAGGAATGACGTTTCGTGAACTCGCATCGTTTGCATCAGCTGTGCAGTGAGATGAGGGAATGTGAGTAGAGTTAGTTATGGAGAGAAGAGAAGTAAGTGTGGGTGTAGGAAGAATTTGATTTCGACCAATTTGGTCTCGTGTACTGGTACGGGTATGAGGGCGGTTGTCACTTCCCGGCTGCCCACACCGTGGAAGAGTGTTTCTTGAGGGACTTGAAAAGGAAGATAGATTAGTGTTGGTCTGAACCATCTGGGAGCGTGACCGCAGAGTCCAAGGGACAACTGCTTGAGGCCGGTCACGCACGGCCTTTTCATGAAAGGTTTTTTGAGTATTAGCTCCGCTCTTGAAAGGCCCTTAGTGGGCACCCTTACCGACGGAGACGGAAATCCGTGAGGTAGGGTGAGGTGTGACATTTTTAGGGCCGACCTTTTCTAACCCTTCCTTCCTTGTGAGAAGGCAGCATCGCTGCAGATGCTGGTTGTCCGAGGGAAACACCTTACTGCTGTCACACCCCTCTGCAGTCAGCAGTACGACTTCGCCCTCAGACCTTGAGTAGCTGCTTTTAGTCTCATCGTTCTCCAATCGACCTGCCTGGCATGGTAGAACCTTCAGGAACATATGTTCCAGCCAATATAGCTCGGTTGGGTCATCACGATAGGCAAGCCCGACCACCACGTCAAGGTAGCAGCTACGGTCGGGTCAACCAATGTTATTCCTAATAACTACTATGTCCAAGTATTTCCTCATTTAATTACTATATCTCTATGATCTGTTGAAATATCTGATGATTCAAAATCTTCAATCACGCATTACGTTTATTTACAACACTTTCGCTTTAGTCTCATTACTTCACGATGACGTTACATATTCATTTTTCGGTATGAGCATGTAAGCTTTACAATTATTTTGATTTTTTTTAAAATTTCTCAGGTTGCAATCTGCTGATGAAGACCTTGCGAAATAAAGTGAATTCATGTGTTTCTGCTAAATTCTTTATTCTTGTTCCTATAATAAAAGGGACTAAATATATGAAGTTTACAGTGTCGGTAGATATAATCACAATTATATATACGTAAGTACAAAGCCTACGTTGTAGCTGACTGAGGTATAACACGGAATAGTCCATAGACATTTACCAACTGACTAAGTAACCCCGAAAATCAACTCAACACTAGACCCAACTAGACCACATTGCTATCGGCGACCAATTGAGGCTCGATAGAAAAGTACTGCTATTCTGGAGCACATGTTTAGATTCAGATCATGCTCTAATACGAGCACGTCTGAGGCTCACACGACGTAATAAAGATACATCAAGGAAACTTCTTAGAGTTTTGTTTAACGATAACAAAGCCAAGGGAATACCTTGAGAGCAACTCGAAAAAGTTAGGCAGCAATGTTGGTGCTGCCCGCTCCAAAGTGGCTTGGAATGATATCCAAAAAGCTGCAGAAACTCCAGTGCTACTTGCCACTAAGATAAACCAAAAAGTTAGGGAAGAACAGTGGATCTCTACTTGACTGACAGAGACTCGGAAACTCAATCCGTTATTGTACTACCTATATCATGGAGTTTGAAATAATGATTCCACCTCTGTGTTTTGGTATGGCAAATTAAACTGAAGCATGTACGTACCAAGTTCTACGTTATAAATGACTGACTGATAAACCTTCACAGCCAAAATGTAGCCCTAAATCCTTGAAGCGAAAAAATAAACCTATCCATCACAAAAGGACGTGATAGTTGATAAGAAATACACAAGAAAAGGCAGTATTAGAAAACTAAGTACAGGATACCTATGTTTGCTGACCAAGCTTTGATAATACATTTCGGATAACAAAAGCGCAAGTTAAAGATGATTTAGTGGTGGAAAATGAAATGCTAGAATAACCGGTTTAAAAATTCAACAGAGAAATAAATGTGAGCAACTGCTTCGGATAAAACAGACAACCAGCAAGGTTAGTGGTTGTGGGAATCAAATGCCCGACTTACAATAACATAATTTCCGTAAGCAATAGATAAGTAACTGAATAGTTTCATAGCTTACCCAAACGCCTAGGTCTCCAGTCAGGACGAGTTCTCCCTCGTTCAACGTCTGTCACGACGCGGACACCATCGATCTTTCTGCCATTTAGAGCTTTGACAGCGGCTTGAATGTTAGTATGATCGTGTAAGATAATACAAGCACACAAAACAGGTTTAAAGTCAGGTTACAATGAAATATTATTATTACACATATATTTGGGATATGTAATGAAAATTCGAATACTGTGACAAATAAAATACAATACAATAGTTTGCAAGCAAATGTAGTAAGCTGTTTCCTTTGATTTGATCCTCTTTTGGAAGTGTTATCAGCTGACAGGTTGAACTAATTAAGAAACTCACCTAGAGTATCCTTGCTTCTATAAATAGCTGTATACAACGGCGAACAGCTTCAAACAAAGGTGTATTTACAAAACACTCACTATTTCTTTTAAGAACTCAGACTAACATATCAGTTAACCAGAAAAGGTTGGCCCTATGGTAGCAACAAATGTGGCTGACCATTAATTAGTAGCTTACCACACAAACAAACCTAAGCCAGATTTTCTGTAGTTTGGTTGAAAACCATGATTTAAAAATGCAGTGCAGGCCAGTCAAAATATTTTGAGGGTGAGCACAACTGCACGTTAACGAATAGATGCCTGAAGAGAAAAGAGAACAAACCATACAATGAAGGCTATGAAGAGCTAATTAACTATTTCGGCCTATAAACATGACACCCCTACGAATCACGTCACTGAAAATGGGTTAACAAAAGACCACTGATCAACTGTGAGCGGAGTAACAAAGTAAATATATCAGCTCACCATGCATATCACGTTCATGTTCGAACTCCACAAAACAATATCCACGAGGCTTTCCCGTTATGACATTCTTTACCATTACAATCTACAGACCAAAATATAAAGAACCTATAAACTTACATTGTTGATTCTCCCGAAGATATCAAGTTCCCGTTTTAGTTTGGATTCTGTAGTGTCATAGTTCTAGACAAACAATATGATATGTTCCGGACTTACAAGTCTAGCTACGAACATAGTATTATAAGGATTAGAGGTAGCCTTCGGATTCTTTTTAGGATTCCCTATAAAGAATTGATTAAAGTTTGAAAACCAACGTACATAATGCAAGATCTTGTTCAAGTTTGTAATTAGCTTGCTCTTGTTTCTCTCGACGCTGAGGAGAAAATCGAATAATACGAGAACATACCTTCCTTTCCTTACGTTCTTCACGAGTTTCGATGCGTACTGGAGCAGGCGTTTCGGACGCATCCTAACAAAGAAGAAATACTCACAGTAATAAGGTAGAAAAAGCATAAGATCTAACGAAAGCAACGTGCATTTACAAGGTTCATTTATAAAATTAGCTAGAAGCTTACTTCAAATTCTCCTAGAAATTGAGCGACACCGGTATATGGTAACTTTCTATGATTTGCATGTTTTTCTATGGGCGGAAGAAAAGGGATTGGATCTCGCGGTGCAAAAAGTGCTAGTAAGTTAGGTGGTAAGAACTGTGTCATCCCGAGGTTTTGAATAGCGCGCCTCGAAGATCGTAACACGTTTTAAAACGAAAACAACTTATTTAAATAATTTTGCACGTACGAGATAATAAAATATCATAAGTTTTGTTAATTATTGTGTTGTAATTCTTTATTTCACCTAATGAACGTAACAAATTCCAGTTGCACCTAAGGCCAACGCAGATTAGGATTTTCCCTGACATCGCCGTTTTGGTGTATCTGAATATGATCGTCATTTGAGTCATATAATTTATTTCTTCTCAAAATAGCATACATTTGTCTTGACTGTTCAAGTATGTAGTTAGTCATCATGATATGTTAGACATTTGCCCCCGTCATAATGATTGTTTGATTCTGATTGGCTAGTTTTTACATTTTATACACCTTAACATGTGTTTTCCCTTTGTGAATATCCCAAGTCCTTGTTATCATGTTTCATTCTCACTCTTGTAATAAGTGGTTTTTAGAGTAGCAAATTAAAGATTAAATACACTAGCGAATCTTTCCATTTTGCTAACTTCACAAGAGTAATTAACCCTTTAGAACATTGACAATTGTGTTGGAATCTTTATTCACATGAAATCGACAGAAGAATTTCAGGATCAATATACTGCCAAGATTCAGATAAAGCAAAGTATATTACACAGTTTGCTATGTGTCGTTGTGTAATAGATCAGATAAAAACATTTAATTTCGGATGTTCTCATGGACAGCTCAAAGTCAGAATGACCAATCAGCGCATTGTGATAAATGTTAGTGGTCTACGCTTTGAAACTCATACTGACACTTTAAATCGCTTTCCCAATACATTACTTGGATGCCCGTTCCGTAGGAGCCGTTATTATGATTCTCTTAGAAATGAATATTTTTTCGACCGCAATCGTCCAAGTTTTGATGCAATACTATATTTCTATCAAAGTGGTGGAAGACTTAGGAGACCTGTAAATGTACCAATCGATGTTTTCACAGAAGAAATAAAATTCTACGACCTTGGGGAGGAAATTTTCGAACGCTATCGTGAAGATGAAGGATTTACTAAAGAGGATATTCAAATCCTACCTAAAAATAAATTCCAAAGAAAAGTTTGGTTACTTTTTGAATATCCTGAGAGTTCAACTACAGCAAGATGTATAGCTATTGTTTCATTACTGGTTATTCTTATTTCAATTATTATATTTTGTGTTGAAACATTACCACACTTCAGACACTATGAACTTCAATTTATTGAAGATTCTAATGAATTACCAATAATTTCTGCTGTTGATACTCCTCAAGTTACAGGAACACTCTTTATTCTTGAATCCATATGTGTTGTATGGTATACTTTTGAATTATTAATACGTTTTGCAGCATGTCCGCAAAAGTTGGCATTCTTCAAGCAAGTAATGAATCTTATCGATGTAGTATCAATTATTCCATATGCTATTTCATTAGGAGCACTTTTAGCTGAGGCTAACAAAGGCCAAAATCAAGCTATGTCATTGGCAATTTTGAGAGTGATCCGATTAGTGAGAGTTTTCCGTATATTTAAATTGTCCCGTCATTCTAAAGGACTTCAGGTTCTTGGGAGGACACTTAAAGCTAGCTTTCGAGAATTATGTTTACTATGTTTTTTTTTATTTGTTTGTGTAGTTCTATTTTCCGCTGCAGTTTACTTTGCCGAGGTTGATGCTAGCGAAGAACAATTTCCAAGTATTATTGATGCATTTTGGTGGGCAGTAGTCACAATGACTACAGTAGGATATGGTGATATGAGACCTGTAACAATGTGGGGAAAAATTGTTGGTTCAATGTGTGCAATTGCTGGTGTTCTAACGATAGCACTTCCTGTACCTGTCATTGTATCAAACTTCAATTATTTTTATCATAGAGAGTCAGAAAGTGAAGAACTTACTACTTATGTTCATGTTTCAGATGATCAAAAAGGTTTGAACTATCCTGATGATAAAACTTCAGGTCATTTTAATGAAGAAATATTTGAAGATAGAAATCAAGAAAAACTTAAAAAAAGAAAAACAGAAATAATTTTACGACAATCTTTTTCAAAACAATCTGGTCGTGAAAGAATCTCTTCTGTATTAAGTAATACTGCAAAAAATGTCGAAGTAGAACTTAAAGAAGAATCCAGTTGTATGGGATCATTAGGTGAATTAGGCAGTTTATGTATGGAAGCAAGAAATTCTCAGGTGAATACAAGTCAAGCCTCTTTATCATATAGACATCATCATCAAGCATTTCAAGAGGTTATGCAACAGCATGATATGCAAACACAACGGTTTAAAGATCTTTATCCTCAACAATCCATAGCATCTAATAATAAACGAATTTCACTTTTAACACATTCAACAGGTTTTCCAGAAGAATCGTGTTTGGAAAAAATCTGATTCATCAATACTTATTATGTATATTCATCTACTTATCATATCTCCTATTATTCAGATTTACTACATTTGGGAATTTATAAATATTGGACATATAATCTCTCAGACAATCATAATTTATACAAGCCTTCAAAATATTTATCTATATATAAAAACTCCGGTGTTTAAATGAAAAAAAAAAAAGACATGTAGCAAGTTCAACCGAAACTGTTGTATTTGATCAACAATTACAAAATAAGACAAAAGGCTTTACATTAAGAAGATCAATGTTTTCTTCCTACACACAAGCACACAACCATTAGTGAGGGGCACGGGAGGTGTGTGTAGGCGTCCTTGGCGGATGGAACTATTCTGTGGATCTGAGCACTTAAGTAAAGTGTTGAGGAAGGAGGAAACGAGAGAGATTCACGTGGCTCACTGTGTTGTGTGGCTTGTGTGTAGGAAGAAAACATTGATCTTCTTAATGTAAAGCCTTTTGTCTTATTTTGTAATTGTTGATCAAATACAACAGTTTCGGTTGAACTTGCTACATGTCTTTTTTTTTTTCATTTAAACACCGGAGTTTTTATATATAGATAAATATTTTGAAGGCTTGTATAAATTATGATTGTCTGAGAGATTATATGTCCAATATTTATAAATTCCCAAATGTAGTAAATCTGAATAATAGGAGATATGATAAGTAGATGAATATACATAATAAGTATTGATGAATCAGATTTTTTCCAAACACGATTCTTCTGGAAAACCTGTTGAATGTGTTAAAAGTGAAATTCGTTTATTATTAGATGCTATGGATTGTTGAGGATAAAGATCTTTAAACCGTTGTGTTTGCATATCATGCTGTTGCATAACCTCTTGAAATGCTTGATGATGATGTCTATATGATAAAGAGGCTTGACTTGTATTCACCTGAGAATTTCTTGCTTCCATACATAAACTGCCTAATTCACCTAATGATCCCATACAACTGGATTCTTCTTTAAGTTCTACTTCGATATTTTTTGCAGTATTACTTAATACAGAAGAGATTCTTTCACGACCAGATTGTTTTGAAAAAGATTGTCGTAAAATTATTTCTGTTTTTCTTTTTTTAAGTTTTTCTTGATTTCTATCTTCAAATATTTCTTCATTAAAATGACCTGAAGTTTTATCATCAGGATAGTTCAAACCTTTTTGATCATCTGAAACATGAACATAAGTAGTAAGTTCTTCACTTTCTGACTCTCTATGATAAAAATAATTGAAGTTTGATACAATGACAGGTACAGGAAGTGCTATCGTTAGAACACCAGCAATTGCACACATTGAACCAACAATTTTTCCCCACATTGTTACAGGTCTCATATCACCATATCCTACTGTAGTCATTGTGACTACTGCCCACCAAAATGCATCAATAATACTTGGAAATTGTTCTTCGCTAGCATCAACTTCGGCAAAGTAAACTGCAGCGGAAAATAGAACTACACAAACAAATAAAAAAAAACATAGTAAACATAATTCTCGAAAGCTAGCTTTAAGTGTCCTCCCAAGAACCTGAAGTCCTTTAGAATGACGGGACAATTTAAATATACGGAAAACTCTCACTAATCGGATCACTCTCAAAATTGCCAATGACATAGCTTGATTTTGGCCTTTGTTAGCCTCAGCTAAAAGTGCTCCTAATGAAATAGCATATGGAATAATTGATACTACATCGATAAGATTCATTACTTGCTTGAAGAATGCCAACTTTTGCGGACATGCTGCAAAACGTATTAATAATTCAAAAGTATACCATACAACACATATGGATTCAAGAATAAAGAGTGTTCCTGTAACTTGAGGAGTATCAACAGCAGAAATTATTGGTAATTCATTAGAATCTTCAATAAATTGAAGTTCATAGTGTCTGAAGTGTGGTAATGTTTCAACACAAAATATAATAATTGAAATAAGAATAACCAGTAATGAAACAATAGCTATACATCTTGCTGTAGTTGAACTCTCAGGATATTCAAAAAGTAACCAAACTTTTCTTTGGAATTTATTTTTAGGTAGGATTTGAATATCCTCTTTAGTAAATCCTTCATCTTCACGATAGCGTTCGAAAATTTCCTCCCCAAGGTCGTAGAATTTTATTTCTTCTGTGAAAACATCGATTGGTACATTTACAGGTCTCCTAAGTCTTCCACCACTTTGATAGAAATATAGTATTGCATCAAAACTTGGACGATTGCGGTCGAAAAAATATTCATTTCTAAGAGAATCATAATAACGGCTCCTACGGAACGGGCATCCAAGTAATGTATTGGGAAAGCGATTTAAAGTGTCAGTATGAGTTTCAAAGCGTAGACCACTAGCATTTATCACAATGCGCTGATTGGTCATTCTGACTTTGAGCTGTCCATGAGAACATCCGAAATTAAATGTTTTTATCTGATCTATTACACAACGACACATAGCAAACTGTGTAATATACTTTGCTTTATCTGAATCTTGGCAGTATATTGATCCTGAAATTCTTCTGTCGATTTCATGTGAATAAAGATTCCAACACAATTGTCAATGTTCTAAAGGGTTAATTACTCTTGTGAAGTTAGCAAAATGGAAAGATTCGCTAGTGTATTTAATCTTTAATTTGCTACTCTAAAAACCACTTATTACAAGAGTGAGAATGAAACATGATAACAAGGACTTGGGATATTCACAAAGGGAAAAACACATGTTAAGGTGTATAAAATGGAAAAACTAGCCAATCAGAATCAAACAATCATTATGACGGGGGCAAATGTCTAACATATCATGATGACTAACTACATACTTGAACAGTCAAGACAAATGTATGCTATTTTGAGAAGAAATAAATTATATGACTCAAATGACGATCATATTCAGATACACCAAAACGGCGATGTCAGGGAAAATCCTAATCTGCGTTGGCCTTAGGTGCAACTGGAATTTGTTACGTTCATTAGGTGAAATAAAGAATTACAACACAATAATTAACAAAACTTATGATATTTTATTATCTCGTACGTGCAAAATTATTTAAATAAGTTGTTTTCGTTTTAAAACGTGTTACGATCTTCGAGGCGCGCTATTCAAAACCTCGGGATGACACAATTCTTACCACCTAACTTACTAGCACTTTTTGCACCGCGAGATCCAATCCCTTTCTTCCGCCCATAGAAAAACATGCAAATCATAGAAAGTTACCATATACCGGTGTCGCTCAATTTCTAGGAGAATTTGAAGTAAGCTTCTAGCTAATTTTATAAATGAACCTTGTAAATGCACGTTGCTTTCGTTAGAATCTTATGCTTTTTCTACCTTATTACTGTGAGTATTTCTTCTTTGTTAGGATGCGTCCGAAACGCCTGCTCCAGTACGCATCGAAACTCGTGAAGAACGTAAGGAAAGGAAGGTATGTTCTCGTATTATTCGATTTTCTCCTCAGCGTCGAGAGAAACAAGAGCAAGCTAATTACAAACTTGAACAAGATCTTGCATTATGTACGTTGGTTTTCAAACTTTAATCAATTCTTTATAGGGAATCCTAAAAAGAATCCGAAGGCTACCTCTAATCCTTATAATACTATGTTCGTAGCTAGACTTGTAAGTCCGGAACATATCATATTGTTTGTCTAGAACTATGACACTACAGAATCCAAACTAAAACGGGAACTTGATATCTTCGGGAGAATCAACAATGTAAGTTTATAGGTTCTTTATATTTTGGTCTGTAGATTGTAATGGTAAAGAATGTCATAACGGGAAAGCCTCGTGGATATTGTTTTGTGGAGTTCGAACATGAACGTGATATGCATGGTGAGCTGATATATTTACTTTGTTACTCCGCTCACAGTTGATCAGTGGTCTTTTGTTAACCCATTTTCAGTGACGTGATTCGTAGGGGTGTCATGTTTATAGGCCGAAATAGTTAATTAGCTCTTCATAGCCTTCATTGTATGGTTTGTTCTCTTTTCTCTTCAGGCATCTATTCGTTAACGTGCAGTTGTGCTCACCCTCAAAATATTTTGACTGGCCTGCACTGCATTTTTAAATCATGGTTTTCAACCAAACTACAGAAAATCTGGCTTAGGTTTGTTTGTGTGGTAAGCTACTAATTAATGGTCAGCCACATTTGTTGCTACCATAGGGCCAACCTTTTCTGGTTAACTGATATGTTAGTCTGAGTTCTTAAAAGAAATAGTGAGTGTTTTGTAAATACACCTTTGTTTGAAGCTGTTCGCCGTTGTATACAGCTATTTATAGAAGCAAGGATACTCTAGGTGAGTTTCTTAATTAGTTCAACCTGTCAGCTGATAACACTTCCAAAAGAGGATCAAATCAAAGGAAACAGCTTACTACATTTGCTTGCAAACTATTGTATTGTATTTTATTTGTCACAGTATTCGAATTTTCATTACATATCCCAAATATATGTGTAATAATAATATTTCATTGTAACCTGACTTTAAACCTGTTTTGTGTGCTTGTATTATCTTACACGATCATACTAACATTCAAGCCGCTGTCAAAGCTCTAAATGGCAGAAAGATCGATGGTGTCCGCGTCGTGACAGACGTTGAACGAGGGAGAACTCGTCCTGACTGGAGACCTAGGCGTTTGGGTAAGCTATGAAACTATTCAGTTACTTATCTATTGCTTACGGAAATTATGTTATTGTAAGTCGGGCATTTGATTCCCACAACCACTAACCTTGCTGGTTGTCTGTTTTATCCGAAGCAGTTGCTCACATTTATTTCTCTGTTGAATTTTTAAACCGGTTATTCTAGCATTTCATTTTCCACCACTAAATCATCTTTAACTTGCGCTTTTGTTATCCGAAATGTATTATCAAAGCTTGGTCAGCAAACATAGGTATCCTGTACTTAGTTTTCTAATACTGCCTTTTCTTGTGTATTTCTTATCAACTATCACGTCCTTTTGTGATGGATAGGTTTATTTTTTCGCTTCAAGGATTTAGGGCTACATTTTGGCTGTGAAGGTTTATCAGTCAGTCATTTATAACGTAGAACTTGGTACGTACATGCTTCAGTTTAATTTGCCATACCAAAACACAGAGGTGGAATCATTATTTCAAACTCCATGATATAGGTAGTACAATAACGGATTGAGTTTCCGAGTCTCTGTCAGTCAAGTAGAGATCCACTGTTCTTCCCTAACTTTTTGGTTTATCTTAGTGGCAAGTAGCACTGGAGTTTCTGCAGCTTTTTGGATATCATTCCAAGCCACTTTGGAGCGGGCAGCACCAACATTGCTGCCTAACTTTTTCGAGTTGCTCTCAAGGTATTCCCTTGGCTTTGTTATCGTTAAACAAAACTCTAAGAAGTTTCCTTGATGTATCTTTATTACGTCGTGTGAGCCTCAGACGTGCTCGTATTAGAGCATGATCTGAATCTAAACATGTGCTCCAGAATAGCAGTACTTTTCTATCGAGCCTCAATTGGTCGCCGATAGCAATGTGGTCTAGTTGGGTCTAGTGTTGAGTTGATTTTCGGGGTTACTTAGTCAGTTGGTAAATGTCTATGGACTATTCCGTGTTATACCTCAGTCAGCTACAACGTAGGCTTTGTACTTACGTATATATAATTGTGATTATATCTACCGACACTGTAAACTTCATATATTTAGTCCCTTTTATTATAGGAACAAGAATAAAGAATTTAGCAGAAACACATGAATTCACTTTATTTCGCAAGGTCTTCATCAGCAGATTGCAACCTGAGAAATTTTAAAAAAAATCAAAATAATTGTAAAGCTTACATGCTCATACCGAAAAATGAATATGTAACGTCATCGTGAAGTAATGAGACTAAAGCGAAAGTGTTGTAAATAAACGTAATGCGTGATTGAAGATTTTGAATCATCAGATATTTCAACAGATCATAGAGATATAGTAATTAAATGAGGAAATACTTGGACATAGTAGTTATTAGGAATAACATTGGTTGACCCGACCGTAGCTGCTACCTTGACGTGGTGGTCGGGCTTGCCTATCGTGATGACCCAACCGAGCTATATTGGCTGGAACATATGTCCCTGAAGGTTCTACCATGCCAGGCAGGTCGATTGAAGAACGATGAGACTAAAAGCAGCTACTCAAGGTCTGAGGGCGAATTCGTGCTGCTGACTGCAGAGAGGTGTAACAGCAGTAAGGTGTTTTCCTCGGACAACCAGCATCTGCAGCGATGCTTCCTTCTCACAAGGGAGGAAGGGTTAGAGAAGGTCGGCCCTAAAAATGTCACACCTCACTCTACCTCACGGATTTCCGTCTCTGTCGGTAAGGGTGCCCACTAAAAGCCTTTAAAAGCGGAGCTAATACTCAAAAAACCTTTCATAAAAGGGCCGTGCGTGACCGGCCTCAAGCAGTTGTCCCTTGGACTCTGCGGTCACGCCCCCAGGTCTCCGAGACCAACACTAATCTACCATCCGTTTCAGGTCCCTCAAGAAACAACCTTCCGCTGTGTGGGCCTCCAGGAATTGACAACCGCCCTCATACCCGTAACAGTACACGAGACCAAATTGGTCGAAATCAAATCCTCCCTACACCCACACATACCTCTCTTCTCTCCACAGCTAACTCTACTCACATTCCCTTATCTCACTGCACCGCTGATGCAAACAATACGAGTTTACAAAACGTCATTCCTGGTCTCTTAAAAGCCCGTTCTAGACTACATGTTGGAGCTTTTAATGTACGGACATTGTGTCAAATGGGGGAAACAGGCTTCCTTAGCTAGAACTTTAGAATCTCGTGCCACCGATGTATGCTACGTCTCGGAAACGCGCATACAGGATCCTAGTAAAATCAGTAATCTCATTTTACCTTGTCAAAATAAAGAAGCAGCTCTATTTACTCTTCATGTATCTGGAAGCCCTGATGCTGCTTCCCGTGGTCTTGCTGGTGTAGACAAAGCATTGAGCCGTAGAGCTGAACAATCTCTCCTAGACTGGATCCCAGTACATAGTCGCTTATGCGCTGTCTGACTAAACGGGACAGTAAGGACTAGGAAGGACAGGGACACTCGCCTTTGCCTCTTCGTCATATCTGCCTATGCCCCCACCGACTGCAGTTCAGACGAGGTTCAAGATGAGTTTTACAGAAAGCTTTCGGACCTTCTCCAAAAAGCTAGGCGCTCTGATATGGTATTAATGGCTGGTGACTTGAATGCTCAAGTAGGTAGACTAAGTGAAAATGAAAGACACCTGGATGGATGTTATGGTGTCGCGCCTCAGAGAACAGACAATGGCGACCATCTGTTGCAAGTATGCTCAAACAACCGCCTATTCTTAGCAAACACTAACTTTAGGCATAAGGAAAAGCATCTGTTGACCTGGCGACCTCCAAAGTCGTCTCAATGTTGGACCCAACTAGATCACATTGCCATCAGCCATCGATGGAGGGGTTCGATAGAGGATAATACAGCTAGGAATATATTTTAGGAGCAACTAGAAAGAGAGTTAAGCAACCACGTAAGCGATTCCCATCCAGAAGCAGGTTGGTATGATATCAAAAAGGCTGTGGAAACAGCAGTGATATCTGCTAGTAAGGTAAACCATAAGACTAGGATAAAGCCTTGGATCTCGATAGCATCTACCGAATTTATGTATGCTCGAAAACTCATCCCGCCTGGCTCAGAGTGCGATGAGGAACGGAGTCAGCTTAGACGTAAGCTGATGCAAAGCCTACGCAATGGTCGAGAACAGTGGTGGGTGGAGAAAGCGAGAGAGATGGAAAAGGCAGCAGCGATAGGCAACAGTAGGCAACTATTTAAACTCATCAGGGAAACTGGTATTAGGAACCCAAATATGAGTGAGACTATTTTGGAAAAGGATGGTCTTATTATCCATTCTCAATCCAGGAGACTAGACCGATGGGCAGAACACTTTAGGGATCAGTTCAACTGGCCTCGAGCCACTCTTCCGTTACCCACGATCTCCAGACTAGAGAAAACCAGGCTGGTTTTCGACCTGGACATGGCTACGCAACGACTGGTCCTGGAACACAGACACATTTAGGCGTCCTACAATAGTTGTTTACCTGGACCTTTGACTCTGTGGATCGTGAGGTTCTTTGGCAGTGTCTGTCATTGAAAGGTGTACCAAAGAAATACATTAACCTTATACAAGCTCTCTACTCGAACACTACTGGTCGAGTGAGAGCTTATGGCGAACTGTCATCTGAATTCTCTACATCAAGTGGTGTCCTTCAAGGATGTCCACTCTCTCCATTCTTGTTTAGTTTCATCATAGACATGCTCCTAGAAATAACTTTATCCTTGTCTGAATTTTCAGGAGTAGACCTATTACCAGGAGGCTTGCTTATCGACTTAGAATATGCCGATGACATAGTCCTTGGTGAAGACGCTGACAAAATGCAGAGTCTTCTGACTACCCTAAGCAACAATGCAAGCATGTTCGGGATGCAATTTTCTCCCTCGAAATGCAAAATTTTGCTTCAAGATTGGGTTGCATCGGTACCTGAACTAGTGATAGGGAGTGAAGTAATCAAGCGTGTAGACCGCTTCACATATCTTGGGAGTCTCATCAGTGCTGATAGCCTGGTGACTGACGAAATCTCAGCTAGGATACAGAAGGCTCGATTGGCTTTTGCCAACCTGCGTCACTTATGGCGTAGGCGAGATATCCGTTTGCTGACTAAAGGACGAGTGTACTGTGCAGTGGTTCGCTCCGTCTTACTTTATGGCTGTGAAACATGGCCAGTGAGAGTAGAAGATATTCGTAGGTTACTGGTTTTCGATCATCGGTGTCTTCGAAGCATTGCTCGTATATCGTGGGACACCCGAGTGAGCAACGCTGTTATTAAGAATCGGATGCTAGGTAAGAATGGCAGATCAATAGACGCAGTAGTGACACTTCATCAGTTGAGGTGGTTGGGACATGTGTTGCGTATGCCCAACCACCGACTGCCTCGACGAGTTTTGTTTTGTAGTGTAGGTGTAGGTCGGAGGAAAGTTAGGGCGGCCAAACCAAAACATGGCAGAAATCCATGAAGTCATTGACAAGTGGACTTAGCCATGTCGGTAATTGTCGACTACCTGGTTGGGGTCCGCGAGATGATAATAGTCGATGGTTAGAGACCCTGAATCACATGGCTCAACACCGTTTGCAATGGCGCCGGTGCATTTATGCTTTGTGTTCTCTCAAATCCTAATCTTCTGGATTCTTCAACCCCTCTAGTTTTGAATTTCTAAACTTATCTCACTGAATCATGCTTCTTGAACAGTATCTTCTAATCCTAACATCTCCGATTAGTTTTAATACATTTACTACCTCTTCGACTGACAAGTGGACTGGGTCATGTTGGTAGATGTAGACTACCTGGTTGGGGTCCGCGAGACGAAAGTCACCAATGGTTAGAGACCTTGAACGACATGGCTCAAAATCGTTTGCAATGGCGCAAGTGCATCCATTCGTTGAACTCTCTCAAATCCTAATCTTCTGGAATCGTCAGCACCTCTACCTGTCTTTCTAACCTTATCTCACTGAATTATACTTCTTGAATAATATCTTCAAACCCCAGTATTCTTCATTACCATTAATACCTCTACTATCTTTATGACTATGGGATTTTATTTCACATTTGCGTAGGCTTTTTTATCAGCCTGACTCCTCTCCTCATCGTACTCAGCGCCAGACGGGATGAGTTTCCGAACATCCATCAGTTCAGTAGATACTAGTAAGATCCAAGGCTTCTCCCTAACCTTATGGTTTACTTTACCTTATTCGCAAATATCACTGCACTGGAGTATGGTATGAGTGGCAATTTTCAATGGAGCATCCCCATCGATGGTTGATAGCAATGTGGTTTATTTGTGTCCATCGTTGGGTCGGCTTTGGGGTTCTCCAGGTCAAAAGATGTTTTTCCTTATACTTAAAGTTAGTGCTTGCTAGAAATTGGTGGTTATCTGAGCACAGTTGCACTAGGTAGTCGCCATTATCTGTTCTTTGGGTCGCGACACCCTTAGATCCACCCGGCTATCTTTCATTTTCGCTGAGTCTACCTACTTGAGCGTTAAAGTCACCAGCCATTATTATTATATCAGAGCGCTTAACTCAGAAGAGAGGTTTCTGTAAAACATATCTTTTATGTCCTCTGAACTACAGTCAGTGGGAGCGTAGGCAGATACGACGAAGAGGCAACAGCGAGTGTCCCTATCTTTCTGAGTCCTTACTGTCCCGTTTAGTTGGACAGCACATAAGCGACTCTCTGCCGGGATCCAGTCTAAGAGAGGTAGTTCTACCCTAGGACTTAATACTATACCTACGCCGGTGAGGCCACGGAGGACAGCATTAGGGCTACCTGAAACACAAAGCGTAAACCAAGTTGATTCTTTAGCTGGACAAGGTGAAATCAAATTAATGATTTTACTCGGATCCTTTATGCGCGCTTCGGGGACATAACACACATCGATAGCATGGTATTCCAAAGTCCTAGCTAATGAAGCCTGTTGCCCTACTTGGGATAGGGTTCAAACATTGAAAGTCCCAATATGTAGTTAAGAGCGAGGTTTCAGGAGACCAGAAGTAACATTTTGTGACGACACGTTTGCATCAGCGGCGCGAGGTGACAAAGGAATAAAGAAGAGTTGATCGTAGAGATAAGAGAGTTATTAAGTGTAAAAGGACTTGATTGTGACCGATTTGGACCCGTGTGCTTTTACGTATATGAGGATGTTTGTCACTTCCAAGTTGCCCGTACTAAGGAAGGGCTCTGGTTGTCAGAAGGAGCACCAGCCTGGTGACTTCCCAAAGACCTCAGCTTTCGTCCTTAAACGACAAAACTCTTCTAAATGAAGACCTAACTCCTAGGGCAGATTTTAAATCTTTTCCTTGTCAGCGTTTTTAGCGAGTTAGTTTTCTATGGGATTGGGTGGCCAACCCTCCTTTATCCGGGCTTGTGACCGGCAGTAGCCTCGGAGGGAGCTCCAGGCGGACTCGGCATTTCAGAAGAGTGTTTACACTCTCCCCATCCGTCCATACTAGGATATTTCGGGGAAGTGATATTACTTAGGAAGGTAACGAGAGTACAACATTAAATTGATTCCATTTCAACAAAGGGTTCGACGAAGTAAGGTTGTAAAGTAGACTTTTTTAAATGCCGATTAAAGTAGACGAATATCGAATGTTCGACACGTGATACAGATAAGTGTCATAGTTTCCCGATTATTATAACCTACTTACACCATTCAAACTGATAATTAGTAAGTTCGCAATCAATTGTAATCTGAAACCTAGTCCTACTTCAGCTACCGCTGTATGTCCGGTTAGACAGCGAATTCAGGTAAAGCGCATTCTGAGTTGATGGGCATTCGTTCAACCGTAATGTGTTGTCACATGTTTCATATCATAATTAGCTCGAGCGGTAAGCAGAAAGTTCGTATTTCCACTTACGTCTTGGTTTAACTGTTAGCAACTTTTTAGATTTAATGTTCTTCGCCTCCTGTGCTAATAATAAAACTATGTAAACAAGTGAAAATCTGTGAATATAATTCTAAACAACTGTTATCGCTAGTTACTACTGCGTAATTGCTCAAAACAGTAAATCTGCCGTCAATGCTAATTCTTCACATTTATCAGCGTTGTAGTAAAGTAGATGGAACATGGCCTCCTCAGCTTATATTACTCTTGAAGAGTATTTAAAACTTAATCTAAATATTACCCACCTAGATGTTTAATGCTATTCGACTGATTTTTGAAGTGTTATGTTCTTTCACAAACTGGCGAAATTAGCACACTGTATAGTGAATGAGATGATTTAAAGGTCTAGTTCGCATAATAATCGTAATCCCTAAATGAAAACCTTGGGTTGAATTTGAGCAATGATTCGAACTCATTTAATCTATATCTTCCTTTTTTTAACTTCCAATTCTCATCCCTTGTTGAGGCGTATTCTGTTCTCTTCGTATAATAACTTCGCATTCCTGTTTTGCGTCTATTTATTCCCTTGGTTTATCAACTTTGAAAAGTGATAAGTAAATATTCGTAACTACTGCTGACTAAATAGAAATATATATTGTCAAGTAGTACTTTAATGGACCGCTAACTTATTCCTTTTAGGTAAGGGTTTAGGAAAGAATCGTCAGGGACCAAGCGACAAGTCTCATCGCAAACATGAAAATGGACGCGATTCCAGTCGTGATCGCAGCTTCGGTCGACCTATCTCAAGTGCACATGTTCGTGATCGTGACAAAGAGTACAAACGCAGACGTAGTCGGTCTCGAAGTAAATCAAAAGAACGTGATCGACGTGGCCGTAGCCGTAAGTTTAATCTGTTCTCAAAAATAAATTAATACTGTTTACACATATATGGTGTCTAACTAAATTTAACTATTTTTAGGGAGTCGAGATCGACACCGCAAACGCCGGAGTCCAGATGAACGAGATCGTGACCATAAGCGCCGCGACCGCCGCCGAGATGATATGATTCAGCAGTATGGAGAGTATGGCGCTGAGATTAGGGCAGAATACAATGGAGACGCATAAAATGCCTTATGGGAGCACCCTGTATTCATACAGAACCCACTTGTGTGCAAGAAATCATGTATTTCAAAAATCTGTACATTAAAAATGTGTTAATAAAGTTGTTTAAAATATTAGCTAGTTGTCTATTAAAATTTTGGAGCTGCAGCATTTAATGGCTCATTTTTGGTGCTTTCGAATAGCAGCATGCAAGTATTACACCGAAAAACTAAAATCAAGCATTGTTACATGTGTAAATATAACGTACCTCCACAGATACAAGAGCAAGTGCTACCACGCATATAATGTAATACTGTTCTCGTAGGTTGAGAAGTATTGACTCCATACAACCCTATAAAAAAAGAGGTTATTGCTGAGCAAACTAACAATGGCACTATCCTATCGATTCGAGCAGTATTTTACGGTTGAGGGACTCGAAATCTGCACATATAAAAGGCATTTGTCTACCAGTCTTTTAAGGCTTGAGCAATAAGCTTAGAATTATTTACCGAATACCTCTTCAGATATGCCATATCACTCATTATCTTCGCACCAGTCTTGCGAATAGTGACTCCATTAACTGATGACAGGTCAATGCTTACCCATCCTTAGTTTTCTGTTAATTTTTTTTGACAGCAGCCAACATAGTCCGTCGAAAAATCTAGTGTTTAGGCATACCCAATACGTTTTATCGCTTCACACAGTCAAATGTCTAGAACCCAGACAGCAACAATCCAAACTTGGTTGTTCTATTAGATTGAAAGACACTATGGATCTAGTATTTGTGAGTTAAGTATCTAACCTTAGTGGACCATGGCTTCATGCCCATAGGGTAATAAATAATAGACTGGTGTGCAATATGCTTGTCTCTTTGTTGATTGATACTACAGGTGAGAAATTGGGAAAAGTCGGGCGGGTTTTCTGGATTTATATCGAGATCTCATTAGGGCATCAAATTTAAAAACTAGCTAGTCAACACGCAACTACTTTTCATGCATTAATCGCTCTATCCACGAAGCTACGTTCCTAATTCTAGACAAGCCAGTATTGTTAGTTGAGGTGACCAAGAGCATTTTGTTAGGATCTTAACTGAAGGGGGCGATATCATCTGCATATTCAGTTAGCGAGATAATAAACTCGGATAAATTACCACTCATACATTTATGACGAAATTAAATGGAAATAAAAAGAGTGGGTAACTGACAAACACTGCTGCTAATCCATCTGCTAATTAACCGTGGCCTACGGATCGACCACTAGTGTTAGTATTAGACTTTGAAAGGCTTGCGTCTAAATTTTGAGCTTCGAAATCCCTTAGCACATTTGTCCCGGACTGTATTTTTATGCTTAGCCTTCCTAATTACTACTGTCACTGCATTATTTCGACTACTTCGATGTACATCTTGTTAAATCTCATCGTATCGTGCTATTATCAGAGCTTAGCTTTTCGAAGAAGGCTGAAAATCTTTCCGTAATATCAGTCTCTTACCTCATTTGAACTGACGTCAATGGGAACGTAGGCAGAGAAAACGAAGAGGCCACAGCGGGCGCCTCTATATTTACGAATTCTCAATGACGCGTTGAGCCATACAACGCTTTGGAATTCAATGCTAAACGTAGTTTGGAGCGTGATGGTGAAGGAAATTTGTAGCTCAGGTGATTGTGGTGAAAGTTCGTCCTCTGAGCTAGATATGTTGGTTGTGAATCTTTGATTGTCCTTCTGAACAACATCGGCACAAACTTCAAACATACGTGAAGTATTCGAAATTCCCTTCTTATGACCCGTAGATTGTTCTGTTAACCTCGATCTTGATTGGTTGTTGTTGACGTTAGACCTGTCGTTGTTTACACCTGTATTTTGATTGGATTCCCCTTTGATCTGTTTCTTGGTCTGATGTTTGACTATGGCTTTTCTGATTGGTTGATAAATTGGGTCAGTGTCGATGTGTTTGCTGACTGCTGATCGACCTGGGTGCCAGGCTTCGAAAAATCCACCAGTGTTCTTTGTGCTCCTCCTATCCAGCATTTCGACACTGTTCCAATCGAATGTATGTCCATAGTTGTCTGTATGTATTGATATAAGGGAATAATCGTCATGGCGTTTGACTGCTAATCGATGTTCACGCAGACAAAGCTGAAGAGGACGTCCACTTTGTCCTATGTAGTGCCTTTCACGGTCTGAGCAGTTGATTTTGTAGATGATATTTGGTTTTTCTTCTTTTTTCATTTTGTCCTTTGCTTTACATAGGATTGATTGAAGTGATTCTGTTGGTTTGTGGGCTACACCTGTTCCAAATGGTTTCATTAGTCGTGCTGTGATTCCCGATATGCCTTTTATGTATGGTAGGATGATCCGTTTGTTGGTTCCTGTGCTTGACTTCGCTTCTGCTGATGGATTCAATTGATACTTTTTAATTAAGTTGCGTGGATAGCCGTTATTTTGAAAGATAGTCATCAGATGCTTTTTCTCGTTTTTTGTGCTTCACGTGTGCTACAGTGTGTCTTCACTCTCTTGAAAAAAGTTTGTACGCAGTTGATTTTGTCAGTTCTTGGGTTGTCGCGTATCTAGCTCAGAGAACGACAGTCCACCACAATTAAAATGTGGTTTCAGATGACCTGGATTAACAGTTCGTGTACTAAAATCATTAGGTTTAGCGACGCGAGCTGATAAATGTATACGAGATGTGTTGGCCGTGGAGGTACGAGAGTTATCAAGAAGTGGGGGAAGTACTTAATCGCTAACAAGTTGATCCCGTGTGTTGTAATTGATATGAGTGCGGTTGTTACTTCCTGGAAGTCACTGGCCTTTCTTATTAGATTGAGCCACTAATAAGGACTGCTATTTTCACGACCGTTTAGGTATCACAGAGAAATACAGTTATTTATCACCAGCATATGCAACCACATACTTTGATACATTATGGTGTCATTTATCAGTCATATTGAACAAAATAGTAAGAAACACTTTAGTTGCAATGAAAACTTAGTAATCATGTTTATAAATAACTGGTAGTTGCATCTTAAGACGATAAATGCCTTGTAGAATCCGATGACCCTAATTTCGGCGAGACGAAATACGTCTGGACTTTGGAAGCCTGGATACTTCATACACATATACTTCATTAATAACTTACTGGAATCTTTAAAACCAACGTTATACACATTGTCGTACTAAAGATCTTTGCTGAGATGCTAAAGAAATTTGAGACAATCGAAAATACATTAGAAAGTGTTTGAAGTCAATATTAGGTTTAAAATGTACATGCACTAAATCACTTAGCTTTAGAATTCTATGGAGTAATTTCAAGTCTTTTTTCACTGATTTGTGCTAAGAAATAATTACGTGAGATTTGATATCAGTTTCTAAAACTATGTTGATAAGCTGAGTATAAACCTTAACATACGTCCTCACAATTTCGAAGGGTTGAACAAGGTTATAATCTTAGATGAATTAATAAATTTGTGCGATAATTGGTAATAATGTTTTAACAAGTGACGATTGAAAATTTAGCATGGTAAACCAGAAGCGTCCCAATTACATATCAGTGATCTCAGCTAAAGGGCACACTTAAATTGCTAGGGTTAGTGATGCAACTAGTTCTCCAGGACGGATATGGGTAGGACGGGTTTTAAACCTGGAGATTAATCTCGTAAAGTTGGGCCTCCATGGTATTAGGGGATTGAGTTGTTTTTACAAAAGCAACTACAATAATACAAATGTGTAATTCTGGGATGCGAATGTCATTACTGAGGGTTAACTTGATTTTAAATAAACTGAACACTTAGTAAGTTGTTAACGACATAAATGATATATTTGTAAAAGTCAAATAGGCTGGAAATAAGATTTCTGACATTCGGCGAGTTAATATGAGTTACGTCTTTGTAGGAGTGGCTAACACTGGGTTACAAAACGTTAGAAATCTAATTTTCAGACCATTAGAACTTTACAAATATATTATTCATTCGATCTTGATATATATGAATATAATGCCTACCTCATTGTATACATTTGATGGATGTGGTAATGTTCCACAACTTTTAACTGATCTTACACAACAAGAATCAGGAACAACCAGGGAATATTCAGGATATGGAAATATTTCATTTAGTTTCGAATGGTTTTGAAAGACGCTATCTGTCCAATCACGATAACTCCTTGAACCACAGCATTTGAACTTTTGTTGAATATGGTCTACAGCAGCATCAACTCCATCTGTGTTGTGAAAGTAAAGAGTTCGCATAGTAAGCATCAATCTATCGGCAAGCCATTCAGTCAGAACATTGGAGAAACACAGAGCCAGAATACCAGTAGTGAATTGAATTAGCAAGATGATGAACAACATCCAGGCGAACTGTAAGTAGAATAAAGTTTTAAATTCTTACTGTTAAAAGTAGAGTGGACTTCCCATTTGAAACGCCGATGAATCCAATTATACAAACAACCACCAGAAGTCCTCCAACAACGAACATTAGGAAATGACTTAAATACGCGATTTCACCCAGCAACACGGGAACAAAAGATGAACGAATAACTAGCAGGAAAACGCCTAGACCGATTAAAGCTAATGCAATTAACTATCCAAAATAATTATGTGAAGATAAAGTACCAAGATAATTGCAGTAAAAAAAATCAAAAACGTCTTGACCCAACTGGGTGTACACGAAAAACATTTGGAATCATCTTCTTGAATAACTATCTCTTCATAACCCATAAGAGGTTTGCCAGCTGGGGACGGCTTAGACTTTGCACCCATGACCTTCTGCACAAATGACCTTATGAATATTCAATCCAGCGCTTAAATAAAATAAATTCTCTTTGGAAATCTCTCCCTACCCTTGTTAAAAGGAAGTTGTAAATTGCGTACTGATTGATAATTCTCAAAAATAGATAAAGCTAGTGTCAGAAACTGATGGTATCTAGGCTTCCCCGAACGGAATTAACTAGCTAACGACAAACTATGGAGCATTTATGCCAACTGCCATTCTGTTATCTACATAAGACTCCTATTGCGTCTCCTGCTTGGAATATCACCTCCGGCCGTCAAAAACCCTGATTTTACCCACGATTAGCACCTTCAAACCTCTGGCTGAATACTTGGGTGAACTGCGATGGTCTTAACTTGATTTAGATAGTGATAAGGCGGAGACGGGGGTTTCGAATCGCTAAGAGGTTGGTGCTCCTGTGCAGCTCCTAGATATAAAATCCAATTTACTTACACACCAGACTGATCTTGTCTCCTAACCCATGTTGTTTTGTACTGGCAAACATCTTGCTCCCTTATAATAAGCAGCGTTGCAAGTAGTAGAACATTTATTGAACACCAACAAATATAGACTCTCGGTCGAGTTTTTTCATCAGATCGGATCACAATGTGAAGAGAAATGTGTGGTGCCCGGTGACTCATCAGTTTCGTGGCGGTCTGTATTCGATATATTATCAGACTTCTTATACTTCCTGTCCAAGCACCAGTTAATGGATAACGCCTCACGGTTTATAAATCAAAAGATGAATGAGAAGTGTTCAATGCGTTTACTTGGCGCAACACAAACACACTACCAAAAGCACAGGTACACGAAGTAAAAGTGATATGCGAGTGCTGAAGGGCAAGCAAGTGAATGAGCGAGTTCGGGAATGAATAAGATTGAAATGTACATAGGTATACACAGGAAAATGAATGAGTCATTGAATTATTGAAGAGGCTAATATCAGAGCGAATAGAATCGATATACACGTAGGTGGTATGTTATGTTCAGTCATACCTTTCCATACAAACCCGACACTAATGAAAGCCGATGGTCCACATAAGTTATTGCTATTCGAATGACTCAGTTAAGTAAGTTAATCAAACGGCCTAACCAAATTACATATAAGCAAACTCAAATATATTTGAAGGTACCACAAATGCTCTTGTTACTGAATGTGCTCGGCTATGTAAAAATGTACTATTATTTAAATTCTATGAATAGCTTAAGCTAATAATTCAACAAGAGTAGCGTTCGACAGAAAATACAGTGAAATCGAAAATGCACTGATAAAGGACTTCGTTCACTGAGTCTTCTAACAACGTTGCTATGTCACTGTGATTAAATCAAGGCTAAAAGCTGGAAAAAATTGTTGGTAGAATGTTGTTAAACAGAATAAAGGACTTGATAGACGCCCAAATTCGAAATCAACAGTCTGGATTGCATAACAGTTGATCGTGTAGCAACCAAATCGCCACACTACGGATAAGTGTAGAAGAGTCAATTGAATGGAATTCACCACTCTACATCAAATTCACGACTACGCTAAAGCATTTGATAGTGTGGACAGGAAATCACTAAGAAGGCTTCTTCGACACTACTACTGAAGACTCAGATAACTTAGAATGAATAAAATTAAAACTTGTTACTGGATTTCTGAGCACAAATCAGAACACAAAACGGAGGGACAGAACGAAGAAAGAGCAAGACACTCTGGAGGAATTTTCGTTGTATTCCTTCAGTTACATTTCACATGTTTAGTGTTTAAGTAGAATAACTACTGTTGCTAGAATGAACTAAGGGAGGAAAAGCGGAGTTAATGACGATCGAACACTGATGGAGAGGCGGATGATTTTATTCCAGCCGTGTTGATTTTGCTAAGCATTTTGCTAGTTTTAGACTTTATTTGAATAATGACAGAGTGAATAATCATTTACATTTAACTTGCTGTCATTACTCCCATATTTCTAATTTTATTCTGAGGTCGCTTATCTATATGCGAAACCTACTGTATGTTTACTCAGACTCTTACGGTATAACCAAGAAGTTGCCGTTTGATTTAGAAAAATTTAAATGAACATAAAAGGTTGATGGATAACAGAAGATGTGATTATCAATGTTACCACAAGCTAACTCTCTTTCTTGCACCTTCGACTATAACAAGCAACTTCTCAGCGTTTTACTTCAGCTACTTATCCAATATGCAGACTCTATCTAACTTCATGCATGTCACAACTCACTGTTCAGGAATTTTATCTACTTATTCACCGTTAGTTCGTCTGACCAAATATGGACGGTTAAATGTTGGTGTATTCAGTTATCCAAATGCCCTGTTGTTCCATTTTTTGCCTTTCGTTTATTTTCAGTACCTTGTTCACAGCAAATCTCCGCCTGTAGCTCCTCTTAGGCTACTGCCAGTCCCAAGCCGGGATAAATAAGGAGGGCTGGACATCGGGGTGGCTACCCAATCTCACGAAAAATCTAACTCGACAATTCAAATCATTTGACTTCTGCCCTGGGAGTTTGAATATTTGTATCCAGAAGAGCCATGACGTCTCACCACCTGCCGGTTGCCAAAATGAAACTGAAATTCGGGAAACACTGGACAGTGGGGTGTGAACAACATCACAGAAGTTTAATACGGCCCTTCTTCGTGATACTGGAAAGCTCAGCGAATTCTAGATAGCCCTCAGCAACATGTTCCATGTTACTGTTGTTGTTCCATGTCCCTTGCACGATCTACTCAATGGAGAGGAAGCAACCATGGAGAGCAGTTGGAAAGGGATCAAAGAGGCAATCACTTGAACATGTCAAGAGGTTCTGAGCCGCAAGAACTCTCTTTTGGCACTCTTGATAAAATTCAAAGAAGGAGGAACAAGAAGGCTGCAATAAAAATCAACCGAACGAGAGCAGAGAAGGTAAAGGCATAACCTAAATACACAGAAGCAAACAAAAAAGTGAAGAAAAGTATCAGAGCCAACAAATGTAAATATATGGAAGATCTAGCAATGACGGCGGAAAAGGCTACAAGAGAAGAAAACATCAGACAATTGTACTATACGGGTGAAAAGCAAGGAAGGCAAAGTATTCAGCAACATTAAAGAACAGCTAAACTGGTGAGTAGAGCACTTTAAGCGACTCTTGAACCGACCAGTCCCACTGAACCCTTCCAACATCGAAGCAGCATCCACGGAACTCCCAATCGATGTTAGCCAACTAACAATTGAAGAGATCAGTATGTCCATCAGACAAATTAAGAGCGGCAAAGCTGAGGGACCAGGAAACATTCCCACAGAGGCAGTGAAAGTAAACGGGTCAGCAACAAGTTTTGGAAGGAAGAACAAGTACGAACAGACTGAGAAGAAGGATACCTGATCAAAATGACAAAGAAAGGCAATCTCGGCAAGTGTGAGTACTACAGAGACATCACTCTTCTCTCGACACCAGGCAGTCTTCAACAGGGTATTGTTAAACAGAATGAAGGACTTCGTAGACGCCCTACTTCGAGAGTAACACGCTGGTTTTAGTAAGGATCGATCGTGTACCGATCAAATTGCCACGATAGATTAAACTGCAAAATTGTTCACAGAGAATAGCTGACAGACTCGTTTGAGGTGAAGACCTGTGTCAGGCAAGGTTGCTTACTCTCACCCTTTCTCTTTCTCCTGGTGATCGAATGGATTATGAAGACGTCGACATCTGGAGGTAAGCACTGGATACGGTGGGTAGCTTGGATGCAGCTGGACGGTCTGGAATTTGCAGATGCCCTACCTCTTCTGTCACACACTCAACAACAAATGCAAGAGAGGAGGACCAGTTTAGCAGAAGCCTAAGCAGCAGCAGGCCTCAGCATACATAAAGGGAAAAACAAGATTTTTCTATACAACACAACATGCACCAACCAAATCACTCTTGATGGAGATGCCTTGGAGGACGTAAAAGCCTTTACATATCTGGAGAGTATCATTAGCGAGCAACGTGGATCTTATACAGACGTGAGGGCGCGGATCGGTGAATTCAAAACAACTGTCAACAAACTCCAAAACTAAAATTTTCAATACAAATGTCAAGACAGTTTACTGTATGGAGCGGAAACTTGGAGAACTACGAAAGGCATCATCCAGAAGGTACAAGTGTTTATTACCAGTTGTCTACGCAAAATACTTCGGATTCGTTGACCAGACACCATCAGTAACAATCTTCTGTGGGAGAGAACAAACCAGATTGCAGTGGAGGAGGAAACCAGGAGGAAGCGGTGGAAGTGGGTAGGACACACACTGTGCCTCTTCCTTCTCCAAGGAGCCACATTGTTTACAAAAATAAATTTTAATTTTGCCACGCTAAAGTTAATTTTTTGTGTGAGTTTTTTGCCTCTGGTCTCTTTAGTTGTTCCAGAAAATTAAAAACCGGAAATATAAGTGCATGTTGAAATACCGTCACGATAATGTAAGCGAGAAAAACGTGTTAAAACTTAAAATGGTATTTATGGGTTTATATGCCATGGAACAGTGATACAAAGAACATGCGGAAGGTTTTTTAATATGGTAAACTTTACGGACATAGCAGCATCATCTCTAACATCTTAGTTCTTTTGAATCTCCTTTATTCATACAGTCATACGCACATCCAGTGCATTACCCGTGATTTATTTCGATTAACCCTCATAAATGCAGTTAGGCGACAAGTGCTTTAATCAAGCAAAAAAACACATATGAAATTTTATTCAACTTTCAAGACATGACTCAAATTTAATAGGACCAATTTTCTGTTATACTTTAGGAATTATTGTGATAGATTAACGTAAGCTTGTGAGGAACATATCACTTTATCCGGTGCCTTATACGATAGCCCTGATATTCCCAAAGACTTGAAGTTATTTCTCTCAGAAGTATGCTATCTAGAGAATGTCATCAAGAAGACCAATATCA